TGAAAGGTTGATCTACATGGAGCACGTTCAAGGCGTCACGGTAGATGAACGCTGGCCATCGCTTTCCGCTTTGGAGAGACGGGCTGTCATGGATCAATTGGCTTCGCCGGTCTCGTCAATGAGGTGCTTAAGGCAATCTTCCGGTGAATAATACATTGGTTAGTCTCTCTCCAAATTCCAACAGCAATACCCATTTTCTCACCATATTGGTTGATCCAGGTGCCTTACTTCGTGGATATATATTGGAACATGTGTGGAGCGGCATAGGTAATCCCCTTGGTCCGTTTGACTCAGTGAGCATTTTCAAAGATGAATTCTTTGCCCTGGGGAGCAGTATTCCTGGCTACATAGGCAGCCCGTTCTTCCAGTCTCTCCGTAAGGCTTTCTCAAACGAGGCCTCAATTGTCTTTACACATTGCGGTCTGCACCCTGGCGTCTCTTACCCGTACCGATGTTCTTGCGATCATTGACTGGCACGGCAGCGGATGGACCCCTGAATTTTGGGAGTACATCAAGGCGTTCTTCACCGTGGACGGGAACAGCGATGGCGATTGGAAGGACCACATTGCGATGTTTGTGCTGCCTGCCCACGAGGAGGAATTGGTGGCTTTCGATGCACTTAATGGAACAGTATGTTTCATGTGATCCCGTCGAATCGGACCTTACACAGGACTCGCAATCAAACGATGCAACTGAAGTTCGCAAATGCTACGATACATGCATTGTACAGTCTTACTCGTGGCCGTGGACTTGGCCATCATTACGATGCTTTTTTGTCGTTCCAGACTTCAATTCGCTTGTTTCTTTCTAACAATTTCGGTTGCCTCTTGCACCACTGTATCGTTGACTTTCGCGCTACGCTTTCATTGCCTCGATTCTGTCTACTCTACGGAATACATTGCTGATATAAATGCACGATTTCAATGATTTTGTTCGTACGGCATCTTGACCCATGGCGAGCGTCATCAAGCAAATTCATCTGGGCAATGAACGATTGCAGTAGTAGTAGTACCATGCTGTTGGCTACGAACAATAGATGTTAGACCAAGGAAACTGAAGCAATAGCATAGGACGTACTCTCCCAGGCTGCTGCACTCTGCTGATCTCGGCCCCAATCCCTTCGCCAGGCCCGTCCAGAACGACAGGCTTGCTACAATAGTTGCACCCAATACTGATCTGCCTTGAGACCCAATCACCCACACCGCCACCAGTAACGACACCCCTATGCCCCCCAATGCCACCTGGTGCCTCTCGATATCGAACCCAACTCGAAGATGGAACAGCTTAGACCCGTCAAACAGATCCCCATGACCCTCCTTCCACCTCCTCACCCACCCCTCTATACCCGATATGCTCCTGGGGTGACTCGGGTTCCTGAATGGACGCGCGGAAGTACGAATTCACAGCCTTATTGTCGAGGATCTGGAAGGCAATCCGCAAGACATTTTTCGGAAGGGTAGAGCCTCTTCTTCGAGAACCTCGGAGCAGTCGTTCAAGACGAGGTGGATGAGCATCGCGCGGAAGTATGGATCCTGTAGGTGCACGATGAGCCGCTCACATGCTCCCGAAGCTCTGTGCTTCTGGATCCGTGCAGGACAAGAGCTGCGATGGCGCCTGACAACATGCAGTGCGACTCATCCTGGAATGATGAGCATGTGCCTGGGTTCACATTGACTTCGAACTTACCAGAACCTTTTGTGAGAAGGGAAATGGCTTTAGTATAATGCTTTGTGAACACCAACCAACACGCCACTCTTGACAACTCTCCTTCACGTTCCCACCTGTCAAAAGACCAACCCCTTCAGACGCAAGGTTCCGTTATACAGAGTTAAAAAAGACGAACCTATGAAGCATATTTGCCAATTCAACCTCCCTTAAGCTCCAACCCACAACCTGGACCTGCAAGGCAATATGTCTCTGCAGCCCCTTCGATGTCACCACCGACGGCTTCCGCGGACGATCCCCCTCCCCCCCCCTTACCACCACCACCGCCAAATGCATGGAAATTTCCGTGCAGCTCATCGACAGGGCTATGGCCGCGACGTCGGTCGTGGTACGGTGATGTATCGAAGTATACGCCTAAAGATGGGAGGTCCAGCTTGTCCGAGATGGGGAGGGGCAGGGGCGGATACCCTTCCCATACACCAAGGAGGCCTTGGTAGGCGAAATCATAGCCATGAAAGACGGACTTAGGGACGACGGAGAGGTACTCGTGGGAGCCTGCAGGATGATATTAGTTGGACTTTATAAAGAAGGGTGTACTGTTCCTACGTACGAGATATCCATGCGCATGTGCGTCTCGCGGTGGGGCAGGCCACACTCTAGAACGACGTCCATACTATTCCATGACTTTAAACCAGATACACGTGAGATTACCCTCGCCTTATCTAGGAAAAGCAGAACTGTACCTCTGAGAGGCCATACTGCCTCAATGCCCTCCTCCTCGTGACCCTACAGATATCCTTCTCCACAGCAAGACTCACGCCCTTCGCCTTCGTCTTGCCCTGCTCGCACTGTGATGTCGACTCGCTATCTCGCTCATAGCACGTCCGTCGTCCAAACGACTGATCCCCCTTATCTCCCTGCCCTTTCTGAAGCGTCCCATTGATGGCATTATCCCCACCCATCGACCGCGCCGACCCCAATGCAGCTGTCCTCGTCCCCTTGCCCAGAGGACGGTGTATGCTTACTCAGGAGTTGCAGCCGCTGTTGCCGGGGCGATGGGACAACAAGCCGGACTCGTGCCCATGCCTTCCCCGCAGGAGCGATTCCTTACACGAGCGTGAACCATTACCGCCATTGGCACTGAGCGTCTATCGCAAGCCCGAAAAGCGAGCTGCAGCTGAGCGAGGTGTCGTCGGGGTGTTGGAGTCCCGGGTGCCTTCGAGGATGCAGCCGGAGAGCCTGGGGGCGAACCATGAGAGCTCCAAACGGTCGGCTTCGGCGTGTCATATACAGCATCCATGATGTTCCAGAAACGCACATACAACGTGTCCTGTTAAAGGAATGCGAGCATCCCTCTTCGAGTGCTCGAGGACTCGATTCCCGAAAACGCAGAGTTTGGGCGGAGATACGCTCAGTTCGCCGAGTCATCCCTTTCGCTCAACGTGAGAATGGGCAACTGCAGCTGGCGTGAGTCCCAGACGGTGATATGCTTTTGCCAACACACGCGATACGGCGGGTGTCGAAGGGATCCGTCGCGATGCCCGAAATGTAGGATGCGACATTGATAGTGGAGGGTATGGAGCTGCACGGATCGACGAAAGCCAGCTGTGGATATACCCGCGAGGAGCTGGTGGGTAGACTGTGGGAGAGAAACAAACAGATGGTGGACACCGTTTCAGTCGGCGCGTGTCCGCGTGTTGTTGGAGAATACAGTTGTCCGCGCCTCGGCCGGCATCGGCTTAGGGGATGATAGGGTGCAAACATGGGGTATGTTTCAGCATGCCGTGAGTTGTGGATGGACCCAATTGCACAGAGAGCATTGCAGACACGATATTGACAGGTCATAGTATGAGGCTGCAGTCCCTCCCACTTTGAAGTCGAATCTTGACGCGAGATACCTGGTTCTGCTGCGCGAAATGCTAACAAGCTGCAGGAACGCGGGATTAAGTTGTTGCATAAGAAGGGAGGAGGAGTATACGCACGAAGAATTACAGCAGCGTCCCGGACTTCGACCCCCGCTAACCTCCCTCCAACCTGTTCGAAACGCGCCTGCACTCCCTTAAGTACGTGTGATTCGGCATTGACAGTGTATGGTCTTGATGAATGGCTTGAGAACTTGAGAAGAACCCATTCTGTCGTCAGAACTCAAACAGCCATGTGAGAGAAGGTAGGGATAAGCAACCTACCTGTTCCAAAGCCCTCCATGCTCTTCTATGCATGCACCGCGGTCTGACAGATCAGGCCGAGGATACGGCGCTCGCGACTGCGTACGGAGCAGTCGATGTTGAGTCGATGGGCAGGGGTCACGGTCACAGATCTTGGAAGGGGTGTCAGGGACCCCGGCCACAATGCTCGTCTGTCAATTACCGAAAATAGACTTGACCCTGCTCAACGTTCAACCTGCTCAACGTTCAACGACACGTTGGATTGTATTTTGAATAAGATCACCATACGTCCGATGATTCAAGATCGCTAATATTAGAGATAGATTCTTCGATCTTCGAATCACAATGCGTTCAGTGTATCATCTGTCGCTTTGATGGAATGAAATTAGGAATTTAACTAGAATTTTACTAAGGGGTAAAGGCTGATGATATTGTAAATTTATTCCTGATAATGGCGTCGATCTTACCTTGGACATGTGTCTGGAGATATTGTAAATATAATCAAAATTTTACCGCCAGATTTCAGATTGAACTCATTTTGAATATCATCAAAATATATTCTAACTAAAAGCGGGGGATATATAAGCCCATGCCCGCAGTGACGTCACGTCACTGTCACTCATCACGCTCGTCAAAATTAGTTTCAACTCCGATCTTGGCATCGTGGCCCTCGACGCGATGTATATCCCTCTCAGCCTCGCCCCTTTGCCTCGCTCTTATTTGACCACCACACGGCTACATTCTGTGTCAGAGGCATATCTCATATCCTTTTCTAGACTTCCACACACAAGCCACCTGATCAGGCTCTTGGGACAGAAGGACATGAACTCGGAGGAAGTTCCAACCTCTCTACGGGCCTGAGGATCGCTCTGAGTGTTTCCTCCAGCCATATTCAATTTGTTATACTGAGTGACTAAAATTAACACCCCAGACGACCGGGTAGTGTATCGGCAACACATCTGCCAGTGCACAGAAAAGCCCTGTTCGACTCAGGCTTCGGTCATGTGGCGAGTAGCATTAGCAAAAATCTTTTTCTTCTCTGCTTCAGTTTCTGCTTCGCTCACCAACTGTACCCTGAACAGCCTACCTTCCAAACCCAACATTCAAAACCCTGCCGCCAGAGCCGTGACAAGCTTTCGACGTTCAGGATGTGCGTGTACACCCCATCACGACTGGATGGTGTATAGATAACACATCTGCATCGTATCGGCTGGATCAGTGGTGTATCAACTTCTGCGGATGAGCCCTGTTCGAATCGGGGTCCAGTCATGTGGCGGCAACAAGGAAAGCTTTTTTTTCTCCTCCGATCCGCTTGCTCGCGACGCGTACCCATACGTTATCGGCCCAACGCGTTGCGCTACAACCTTCGGACACGTTACTTTTTCTAGTATTCTTATTACAAAGTTCCGTCCCGCCACGCAACCCACTCTACAGGCCACGCTCCCGAAACTTCCGTGTCTCCTCTCTTAGTATTACGCGACGTCGCACCTCTTTCGTCCAAACGCTGTAACCCGACAGCGTGTAGTAAATCACCCTATCAGTCATCCTATCCACACTCCGAGCAACTGACTACTCATAACCAGATGGTGCATCGGCAATGCTTCCACATATCCCATGATTATGCAGCGAAGCCCTGTTCGAATCAGGCTCTGGTCCTAGAACTTCTTCGAGTGTCTTTGTTTTTCCGCGCCATGATCATAAGCTCAGTTAGTACGTCACCCCATTTCCCGACGTACCTTCCAACCTGACACTGTATTTCCCAATTTATGTTTTGACCTACCGTTCAGAAACCTGTTGGAGCCAACATTGACATTAGTGTTTAGTGTGTGCATCCCAATACGGCTGGATGGTGTATAGGCAACACATCTGCATTGAATATCAAGCCAACTGTGCCACAGTTGTACTCTATCTTCTGCAAATGAGCCCTGTTCGATTCGGGGTCCAGTCATTCGGGTTGAATGCTCAAAGTTTTTTCCCCTGGCGTGATAAGCTCGATTAGTAGTACGTCGCCCCATTGGCATTTCCCAGCGATTGCTAGACCTGTCATGACTATGCAGTGCGTATACTCTCCGATACGACTGGGTGGTGTATTGGATTCAGAAGCCTGCTAGAGCCATCATGGGTGTACAGGTGTGTACACCCATTACGACTGGATGGTGTATAGGTAACACCTCTGCGTTGAATTTCTCAGTCCGCTGTACACGGAGCTGTATCTTCCGCAGATGAGCCCTGTTCGAATCGGGGTTCAGTCATCTCAGGGTACAGGAACTCGAAGTGTTTTTCCCCATCATGATAAGCTCGATTAGTCGTAGGTCGCCCGTTTCTCGACGTACATTTTGCATAATTTCGAGAACGCACGAAACCATTGCTAGATCTGTCATGACTATGCAGTGCGTATGCTCTCCGATACGGCTGGGTAGTGTATCGGCACGCACCTCTGCAGTGAATCACCCCTGTAGCGGTTCCGCGGTGAGCCCTGTTCGAATCGGGATCCAGCCATAATAATCCATTTGATTGCTTTTTCTCGTACATTGGGCCTCAAGCCGACAGAGACTTGTAACCCACTCCATCGCCCAAGATACCTTCCATGGACTGGGTTTGGTGTAAAGGCTTATGTCGGGACTGGTATTGACATCCCTTAATGACTGCCCTCCATTTTTAAAAGGTAGTTGAACAAATTCTCTGTAATCCAGAACGTTCCCAGTCGCAGTCAAGAAAGTCACGATACAGCTCGCACTGCCCACAGACTATGATAAAACTCCTGCGTCTCCTACGATGGAAACTACATTCATATCCCTGGCGTTCCAAGCCATCAGATACACCCCGAGAGCAAATGCACCGCACACTGCTTACTTCGAGACACCTCAGCAGCGAACAACTGCAATAACAGATTCATCAGCTCCATCTCAGTCAGACTCGGCAACCAGACTTACGAAGGACATTGCCTGAAGATTCACCCCTCTTGCAGCATTCGACTTTGGGGTTGCAGGTTGGCGCGAGGGGGGACGCGTAGACCTGATGCGCGAGGGCAAACATGAGGACGGCGCTGATTGATTTGAAGAGTTGCATGATGTGCGGTGTAGATGATGATGCAAGAGTGAAGGAGGCTCGACTTGATGAGGGTGTGGGGTATCCGACCGTTCCCACTTTATAGGCTGGAGTTCGTCAAGGCATCTCGGCGCGCGCGATGTCAGTTGAGACGTGGACGTTGGTGTATTTTTGGGTAGAGGACCCGTAGCGTTCAGGGATCCCCGTATGTGCCATAACGTTCTGCGATGAGCTCGGGGCTGCTCAGCTTTTGACATCGCGTGTGGTGAGCCTTCGGGCAAGAAATGACTGTACGCCACGGTCATGACACTGCGGGATATTATTAGATCTTGCGGTGACCTGGCACCCGATGAAGCAGACAAGAGGCCTGTACAAGCATTCCTAAGCGATGGAAATCCTGGAAGGCTGGAGATACGAAGGAAAGGTAACTCAACATGTTGTAGCTGCGTGAACTCGTGCGCTTACCGAGACCTGAGGCGACATGATAGCCTTTACAATGCTTTACATTTGGGTATTGAGTGCCCATCCGAGAGTATCTGATGACGTGCCGTTGTTCGTGCCGTATGCTGCCGAGCATAGCGGCTGCCAACTCAACGCGGCAGAGGACTGGCAGAGGTAGTAACATTCTGTTTGATAAGATCGCTGAGTGACTGTCAGGATGGAATAGGACACGCGGGGAGTTTTGATCTAGATATCGGGTCTGAGGTTGCTCAGAAGTGGACAGAGGTGTGGGACTGAGATATTCATGGTGCCGCGGAGGTATGTGTGTCGCGATCGTAGCTAGTGCTCTAGTAGACATAGAATGATTCGCAATTTGCCATGGGCAGCTCGGGAATGGAGATCTAGGCGACTATGACTCTAGAAAAGGAGTCTTTTGTTAAGAATGCGTGGGCTGTTTCTCTACCATGCTGAGTTGCTCCTGACAGGCCCCCGGAAGCTCCACCAAGGGTCTGTCCGAAAAATAGCGTATTTGAGGGCCCAAAAATGGCCAAATTCCTGTCGGGTGATAGCGTATTTGAGGCCCAGCGACCCTCAATCTCTGTCACCGACATTGCGTATTTCAGGCCCCTCCAGGACGAAAAATCTCCGCCACCCACGTTTGTAGCAGAGAGGAGTTTGAATTTCACATGTTGAAGACTCTAGGGTGATTCGGAATCACCCTCCGTGATACTACCCTTTCCTCGCTGCACCTCACGCCTGTCCAAATGCTGATAATGTGCACGGAGGCGAAATGGCTAAGTAGCTCATAGAAACAGTGAAATATTAATGTAGAGAATTAACGCGTCGCGTCACGCTACCATTTTTGGACGCGTTTTTGGCATACACGTGACCTTATCACGTGAATATCACTGTCCGACATTGCGTATTTGAGGGCCTCGACATTGCGTATTTTAGGCCGATTTTTGGGTTATTTTCCGGACAGACCCTTGGTGGAGCTTCCGGGGGCCTCTCCTGACTGTTTGACATAAGACATCGATGATCGATCCAAAGCACCATCCTGATCGGATGAGGAGTATGTGTGCAAGTCCAACGCAGTCATAGGGCCTGAGTCAAACATACATAAGTATTAGTAAGGCGCGTTTTGGGGGAGGGAAAAAGAACTCGCCAGTGCGTAAGATTGACGGTAACACCGTCAACGCTGTCAGCGTTGCCGTCAAGGTTGTTCAAAGGTTGAAGTTGAACGGAATTGTCGGGCCGCGTGCCGCCCACGTGGCAGCAACCGAATCCCGACGACGTAATCTCAATTTGGTGCTAAAAGGCTCATTACGTCTCCCACCTACAATTCCCTGGCCCTGCGCTTCCTTACCCATCTCGCATCCAGCCTCCAGACCATATGGACTGCACAAACTGCGAGCTCAAGCAACGCCAATTTTTCTGCGAGAATTGCCTACGAACCCAGTCAGTCGAGAAGCCACCTGAATGATTGTCACTCGTTCTGAAAGACGATACCCAGTTTACGCGATTTTAGACACCAGACGCACCATTTTGCCTCCGACCGCCAGGAACAGGTTTCCAAGGCATCCAAGGCTCTCGAAACCATAGAGCCGTCGCGAGTGCGTCGGGCTACGCTTGCGGATTACCAGACTCGAGTCGATGAGGTCTTGAATGGCCTTACGAGGCTGAGGAAGGAGAACGATAAGAGTGGGTGTAGCGTTGTTTCTTGTTATCAGCATTGTAACGGATGATTCCAAAATAGATCGAGATCGGCTTCGGGCCTTGAGAGAGGGGCTTGCAGCGCGTCGGCGCACTCTATCCGCAGCAAATCTCCTACCTCACCCGGCACCAACAAACTACGCAGCGCAGCGCGAGACGCAAGAGCTCAACGCACTTTCCATAACTCTCGCACGAGCGCGCTCAGGCTTGGTGCAAGAGCTCGTCGAGGTGTTCAACGTGGTCGAGGTGGGCGGACGGCCACCCATCGGCGGCAAAGCAGGAACAAAGGGGGAATGGACAATAGGGGACTTGATTCTTCCTGTCCCCGGAGACATTCGACGTACGTGCTTTTACCCTCCTTCATGATGACATTCCGACTCATGTGTCTCCTATGTAGGATACCCACCAGACCATATAAACGCCGTGATAACCCATACGATCCACTTCCTCTCGCTCCTAACCTTTTACCTCGGGATTAAACTACCTTTCGAAATATCCTGGTCAGGGGGCAAACTTGGCGTCGGTCAGCCATCCATTGGAGCCGGTAAAGGCTCTGAGCTCGGTGGATGGGCAAAGTACGTCCTATCCTCTCTCCTACACATCTCCCCATCTAACTACAGACTCTATAGGTGGCATACGAAGCACCCATTACACCTCTCATCCGCAGCGCCCTCGCCCACCTCTCCACCCCCGTCATGTCCTTCCCGCAAGTCTGACTCCGCCCCTAGGCAGCGTACCGTCTCCATCTCCGAATCCTACATCGAACCAGATCCAGCCCCACAAAGCTCATTCACAACGGCGCTCGCGATGCTTCTATACAACGTCTGCTACCTCGCTCACACGCAGAACGTCGACGTCCCCCTTGCGCAGGCCGGAGACGTGCTGAGCAACCTCTGGAGTGTATGTTGCAGCGCTGATCTCGGCAGGTGACTCTCCCTCTCCTTACCCCATGGCTCACTTGGCTCATACTTATACTTATCCACCAGGAAATCACACGAAACGAACCCGACGCTCCCGCCCCCAACCCCGCCCGGGTTCCCACTCGACTTCGCGCAGCTCCTACAAGCCACGACTGCGCACCCTGCGTCACGGATGCGCCCGCGGTCCGGCAAGGTCCAGATGCACACGAGACGGGGCAGGAAGGAGGAGGTGAGGGTTGTGGAGGAGGAGGAGGGGTGGGATCTGGTGGAGGGAGATCAGGATGGGGACGGGTTCCCTTGAAGCGTGTGGGATTGGGCTGAGGCAGGTTTCGATGTCGTATGTGATGGGATGAGGGATACATTGTATGGGACAAGGCAAGGTACGCACGATTAGTTCGTGACTCCGCTCAATGCAGAGGTACTCATTCCAGGTCCCTTTCAGATCGCAGTGCTACCCTGGTCCACAGAAACATACGTCCCCTTCGTGTTATTCGCGAACCGGAGATGAACAGATTAGTCCAGGTACGAATACAATGGCTAAGATTGGGGCGACGAGAAGGACTTGACCAGTTGGTTAATATCCCGTCTCCTCTGCCGTTGGCGTTGCCCTCTTCATCAGTCGAAGCGTCGACATTCTTCCTCCTCTTCGCTTTCGGCTTCGCTGCCACCCGCTCCTTCGGACCACTCGCCACCGGCGGCACTGCGACGTCGGGCACGTCGTTGGAGGGAGTTTCCTGGATTTTTCATGGAGCCTCTGATCCTGGTGGCGTGGTTCTTGATATGTGTGGGAGAGCGGGTGGACACAATGTCCACTCGACCGGACGTGTGCTCAGGGAACAAGGAGATTGGCAGCGGCGGAGGACACACGGTTGACAGACCATTCTCCCGCCCTTCCGTGTCCCTTGCTAGTCGCCTCTCACGCTGACGACGTCGGTGAGAGTCATGGGTAGAGTTATGTCAGTTCAGAGGATATCAATCTGTCCCGAATCTGTGGCACGAGTTCGAACTTTGGGGGGTGGGCGAGAGATATATACCTTGTTTCCGCCAATCTTCCGCGTCCTCGGCGAGTAGGTCATATTTCGCCTCTTAAACCAAGGAGGTCTTGAAGGAACCTGAAATGCAAGCTAGAT